GAGTTGTTTGTAAAAAAATTACATTAAAATAACATCAGCTATTGATTGGCTATATATTGTTTTTGTTTGTTTGTTTTGTATTACAAACTCCAGAACGTGAAGATAATGGATGAAGCAGCTAGTCAAGAACAAAATTACTTTGAACAATTGCCTCCAGGCATGGGTGGGGAAGAGGGTCTGGGCTGACTGAAGTCTCATACTCCTGTCTTTCTGGGCCTGATAAATTTCGATACTCCATATAGCTTATATTGCTCTGAGCTAGTTTTCTTTTCTCAACCTAAGTAGTCTTTCTGTGTATACAATTTAAAATAATTATATTCTGTTCTACATCTTACTTTTTCATTTATTACACTTTTAGCAACATTTCAGCCATATCAATGTGTGTAAATCTGCCTATTCATTTTATAGTTATATGATATTAATACGTTTTTATGAATGTACAATTTATACATTTTCTAATGACTTTCAGTTTGCCACAGTGATAAATGATGTTGCCCTGGACATCATGTGTCTTTGCATACCTGTGCAATTGTGCCTACAAGAAAAACATCTTAGTAGTGCAGTTGCTTGGTTAATGGCTTTTATAAATGAGTCACCACTACTACTATCCTAATTTCCTAGTGCAGTCGTAACAAACGACTACAAACTTGGTGGCTTAAAACAATAGAACTGTATTCTTAATATTTCTGGAAGTCAAGATGAAGAACCACATTCCTTAAAAAGGTTCTATGGGAGACTCTGTTCCATGCCTCTTCTAGTTTCTCGTGGCAGCTGGCATTCCTTGGCTTGTGGTCACATCACTTTCTGCTGGGCCTCCATCTTCACAGCACATCTCCTCTCTGCATCTTCCTTTCTGTGTGTCTGTCTCTGAACTCCCCCTGTCTCTTTTTGTTATAAGGATACATGTGATTTCATTTAGAGCCTACCTGGGTAATCCAGGATAAGATTCTCTCTCAACAGCCTTAATTTATACACATCTTTTGCCATATAAGGTAACATTACAAGTTCTGGGGATCCAAACATGGACATAGCTGGCATTAAACCTATTATAAATGTTTTACACATAATTCTATAGTCTGAGTATATCTCGTCCGAAATGCTTGTAAACAGGTCAGCTGTGGAATTTTTCACTTGTGATGTCACATAGGCACTCAAAAAGTTTTGGATTTTGAAGCATAATTTTTTTGATTTTTGGATTTGGGGATGTTCAACCTGTATTAGGAATCAGGGGAATTTTTTGGTATAGGAGGTCCACTTCCAATTCTTCATAGATAATTACATACTGGTTTATATTATTTTTTTCTAACTTTCCCATTATAAAACATTTTTAATTAGTTTGATCCTTATTGCCAATTAGCATTCTCAGAGTCATTTAACCACTGCAATAGTTTAGTCTAAAAACAGGTTTTGTGTTACTGACATTTTGTGAGCTATGCACTATTGATATCTCTCTTGTCTAGATGTCAAAGTAAATTAGTCAGTAGGATTTATGAGATGGTCCACTTTGAAGAATAAAATAGCCTCTTGGGATTAGAGTCCAATTTTAATTTAATTACATGTTGGGAAAGAAAAGATTTGGTTCAATTTAATTTCTGTTGTAAAATTGGGTGAGTTGTCACCTAAAGTTAAACATTGTACAGTAATTCGATGTTGCTATATCCTTTTGTATAAAAAAAGGAAATAGCTAAAAAACCAGACAATCATTCTTTGAGAACAAATTAATTCATTTAGGCAAAAACATAATATAACTTACTACTTATAAACACTTTATAAGTAGGATGTAGAGAAAAACTCATGCTTTAACTATAGGGCTTCTAGAGAAATTTATAGTGAAAACAATAGTCTAAGAACTATTGATTATTTTGGGACTACTTTGGTGAGTCCATTATTTCTAGACTGTATTTTGAAATATAAACTTCTGGATAGCATGGGATATTGATAAGACTTCATAGAATGGAGGCATGCTGGTTTAGGCTTTGAAAGTTGAAGAAAGATTTTTCACAAAATAAAGGAACATTCTAATACTTTATGTGACTGAAAGAGCATTGAATATAACATTATAGTCTAGCCATGGATCATCACTGATAGTTTAATTACTCCTATGTCTTATATATTTTTCTCCATAGTTTAATCAACTGGTATTGATTCTAAAAGAAAAGGCGAAGTTATTGGGCTTCAGTTCATCCCACCACATAAATTGTTGAAAAACACTTGCAGGTCACTCTTGTAAACGGTGATATTATATTGGAGCCTATATATTCAAAAACATTGTGGAAAGCACAGGTGTAAATGAGCTGGAAAGATGATGAATTTCAAAAGACTTTGAAGGATAGTTGTAGTTTTTGAATTCCAAAGATAAGAATATAAATTCTGATGAACAATACCATCAGAATGGACATGTACAAGAACTGAAATTTGGAAATTTCCAGAGGAATAAAACCGAAGGAGTATAATTGTATGCAGAAAGAGTTAGCTTTCATGTTGTGTTATAGTAGACTCAGCAACAAAGGCCCTAATAAAAAAATACTAGTTGTGGTAGCAGTTTGGTCACCTACTAGACATTTTACTTAGAAAAGTCACTTTGCAATTCTGATCATTTATGCCCTCGTCTATAAAACGTGATTCAAAATACCAGTTCCCTGGAGTTCATGGGATTAAGAAAGTAAATTATTTGCATTTTTAGAAAAATAAGAAGCTCTAAAACATTTTTTTATTTTTTATGCACCCTGTTATAAGTAAAGCCCATCATAAAACAAAAGGCATATGAGTTATTACTAAGGAACAAAATTAGCAGATGGCAAAGCCCAACTTTTGGCTATAATAATTAAAGCTACTTTTGTAGGGGGAATAAGCTTATGCCTACTTGGACTTCAAGAAGCAGTCCTCTAAATAATGGTTTTTCCAAATCGAAGGAAAGCTTTCTCATTGGCTTAAGGATTGTTGGTTTTCTACAGGCTTTGTAGTCAGACACACAAACTCTAAAACACTACCTTTTTAAAAAAACTTTTAAACCACCTTAATGGGGTATGATTTACATACAAAAAAAGCTGTCTATAATGTGTACAACCTGGGTAGTTTGGAGATATTTGCTCCTGCTTTCTTTATTTATTATTGTTACATTCTGAACAGAAAACAACATAAGATCTACCCTCATACCACATGGTTTAAGTGTTCAATAGAGTATTGTTAACTACAAGTACTATGCCGTACAGTAGATCTCTAAGATCTATTCATCTTGCATAATTTTATCTTTGTTTTTTGACTAATTCCTCCCCATTTTCCTCTTTTAGTATCTGGAAATAACTATGCTATTCTCTGCTTCTATGCTTCCTCATCTTTAATGTTTCCACTAAAACACTACCTTTCATTTTTAAAACTAAAGATTAGTAAATGCATTGTATAAATATATCTGCATAAATGTATATGAAATATATGATGATAGTTTAATATATGTAAAGAAAAGGATGCAACATAGATCAATATAGATGTAACTATCAAGCAGAGTCTTCCTGGATTATTTACTCATTTGTTGAAAGGAACTCTGGATGTGAGTTAGTCTTTCTGGAAGAAAATGGGCCAATTAAGTTAAGGTGCTGTGAAATTTCACAGAAATGTTGGTGAGCATGTAGAATTTGGACTTGTCAAGGTCTCTTTTATCTGGTCCCTAAACTGGCCTGCATAAATTATATATATTTTTTTATTTTCTTGGAGGGTTGCCACATGGAGCCTGTATAAATTATGAGTATAATTAAGCACATAGACTGGAAGATCAGAACCTAATTTTTAGATATGCTTCAGGTTCTCTTCTGAGGCTTTGCCTGGAAGCCAGGGAAGTTCTCCCTGCCAGAGGAAATGGATATAAAATAATTTCTTCAAAAAATAAAGGTTTTCTACCTTTGGATGAGCTGATTACTTGGGGTGGGATGGAGCTGCTATTCTCAAATTACCCAGCTTTGAAAAGCAGCAGATGGGTCTGAAGGCTCCCTGTAGGACCAGAGCTGATGTATGTGCCTCTTCTCACTGCTCTAATCCCAGGCCCAGGAGACCCATTTAGTGTGAACTCTTCATTCCTAGCACAAGTTAGACCTTTAGTTCCATCCTTACGAATTTCTCAGTGTTTATTCATGACTTTTAAGCCTTATTACTCATCTTCTTCCTAGTCCTTACCCACCCGCCATTTCTCATGGACTTGGCATGGAGATCACACTTTCCTCATACTCTCATACAAACCTCATTTGACCTGGTGGCTGTGTTACCTTTGTTCAGCACTTTTAGAATAGGTGGCCCTGGATATAAGGCAGACATTGGGTATTTAATGAAGATATTGACATTTTTCTTAGTTTTGATCTAGGGAAAGAAAGCCTTGGTCCAAACCAAACAAACTCTTAGGTACTAAATTCTATATATTCAGCAACATATTTAAATTGAAACAAAGATATCTGCTAGATTAGAGATTTAGCATATTTTTCTGTCACCCCGATTTGATGAGGAAGTTTGAATTCTAAATCACAAGATCTCTAAAATAATTTGTTTCTTTCCTGAAACCCAGTCTGTCTTATTATAAGCCATGTATATTACTGACAGTATTTCTAATAATTATATTTCAATTTTTTATTTTCATTGTCAATGGATATTTAATTTATTTAATTGAATTTTAGAGAAAATTATTTAAATGAGTATAGGGAATTATTTAAGTGACAGATAGTGAATGCCAATAAGAATTTTCTTTCTTATAATCATAGGCTTGTAGTTTACTGTTGTTTTCTTTTTAACAAAACCTGATTTTTTAAATCTTATACTTTTTATTTTTTTTTTCTCATGCCATGTTTGGTCATTTTAGTCATATCTTAGTTCTATTATTGTATTGACAAAGATGTATTCAATTTCACTAATTATTAAAAGATGTTCAAATTTTATTGAGGTGATTTAAAGGCAGTGGCTCTAATTTGGCTTACTGAATTCAAATATGCATGTAACGATTTGTTTTTCTATTTCTTTAGATAATCCAAAATCTACTCTACCTCTCTTCATTTGTAATACTTTCAAATATCACACTTCAAGGTTTAGTGACTAGGCCTAAAGATTTCACATATAATCCAAAGAAATCTGTTCAAGTGGACATCTATCAACAGGTAAAACTATGCTTTTAACTCTGTTTTTCTTGTCTATGCTTACAAGTTGTGCTTGTTAAAAGAAATAAGACACAACTGATATAAATTGTATTAAAATATTATAGAATTGAGCATAGGAAAAAAAGGCATGAAGCCAATGAGTGTGTATGACTTGCATCTTGACAATTGGTCAACTCAAGAGTCACTAATAAGGCAGACGTAACAATGTTGGAATTAGAATTTTTGAAACTGATTGGTTCTGGGTCTGTTTTCTAATGGATCAGTTAAGAGATCATAGGATGTCATTTTATACGAAGAAAAACAAAAGAAGTAGTAGATAAGAAAATGAAGAAGTATATGAGTGGTGCCTTGCACCCTGGAGCCCACAGTTATCATTCAAATCAAGGAAATGTGCTGAAAACGAGAGTAAAATATCATATAAATGAGAAATAAATTGATGAACTGTGGGAAAAATGTAGTGCAAAAACAGAAAAGATTGAGGAGAAAAAATGCTTAATCATATGTTTTTTACTTAAAGGCAAGTATACTTTTGAAAGGAATGATTTGTGTAGCATCTAAGAAAATAGCTTCACTTTTATAACAAAGCAGAAACAATTTAAGTAGTTGACAATTCAGAGAATGAACATGCAGTACATTAGAAAAACATGAATTTGATAGGGAATATAAATCAGAATTCCTCGGTGATATTCCTTCAGACCGGAATCTAGAGAAATGTGAAACAGCTGATTATCTATGGAGGGCTGATGTGCAGGTCACCTATTGTCATTCAGAATTGTTAAAGAAAGAACATTTGTGCATTAAAATATATCTGGGGATATGATTGATACTTAGAGGAGGTGAATATGTAGTTGTGTGCATGTGCACACGCATGTGGATGCACATGTGTATGTGTGTTTGAGATAGAAAAATGGGAGGAGTCAAAGGAAAGGGCTGGTAGTGTATGCTATTACTATCCATTTTTACATCTTTCAGTTTTTCCGATGCTTCCGTTTTTTTAGTCCTTTTCTGAATTTGGATGATGGCCTCATCATTTACTTGTATATACCATAGTCAAGATACATTTAGCAAATATTCCTTTCCTTTACTTTTCATTTAGGATGTCATCTAAAGCCAACCTCTTCTCAAGTACTTATACCATAATTGCTACCAGCATTTGCCTTGAGATTGCTGCCCCTGTCTAGAAAGGACTGTTAAAAAAAAAAAAAGTCTGCCTCAAACAAACATATGGGGCCTAACATTTTATTCTGATTTATTTCTCTTTAACTTCGTTACAAAACAAAACCTGAAACTTCATACTTACAGAGATAAAATGACAGTGGATGGCATAATGGGTGAAATTTTTTTTCCAAGTTCAAATGTTTATAGCTATTTATTGATCAATTTGTCTTTTATTTACCCTATTATATGCTAATAACTATACTGAGAACTTGGGATACAATAACTGCCTTGTTATCTTAGAATCTGATGGGAAAGATGGATAGTGAATAAATCAGTGGAAAAGTTATTTGAAGGCAAAAATATTGTAGCTGTTTCCAAATTATTCATTGGGAGAATGAGGAATTTGGAGAAATCTATGTTTTCCTATGATTCAAATTGAAATCAGAACTATAAGAAAAGTACTTATTACAATAGCTTATAATATTGAGATAAGGTAAGAATCTAAACAGTCCTGGATTTTTTATGAAATAATTTAGAGAATATTAACCAGTGAAATATTGTTAAAACTGATTATGCAACTATTTACGATTTTTAAAGAAATCCAAATAAATGAGAAATTCAAATCTTAAAACTGTACTTCTATATAGCACATTTTAATTAAATTTATATACATAAATATATACACACATTGAATATACATATATACAGGTAAATATTTACGCATTTGTTGTTTCTTCAATTCTAAGAAGCACGTATTTCACATTTTAACATCTTTGAAGTCAGGATGTCTTACACTGGATAGCATTTTATGATCATTGTTGCTAAGGTGGCAGGAATGGGAGCGTCATGGCCTATGCCTACGCACATTTTAGTGATTATTTCTGATCAGGATTGGACAGTTTCAGTCTTTTGATATTTCAGTCAATAAACCATTTGTGGACCATTAGAGGAAGGAATGTAAGTTCTGTTGTTCACTGACTATCTTCTGTTGATATTTTCTGGTAAGATGAAGAACATCAGTGTCAAAATTTAAAGTGGCATAAGCAGCTTGAAAGAAATTCCTAGAGACAGTAATGGAGTACTCTGTAGAAATGCCAAACCGTGGATGCTCTTTATAGGCCAGAGGAGGATATTGTGTAAGAAAACACAGCTATTGCAAACTGTGATTCAAAAAGCAATTCAGAAGAATCATAATCCAATTGTGAAAATATTTAGCAATACTTAATGAGTTGGAAGTTGTTTTCTTTTAGTACATATTTATACATATAATTTTGATATAACTATTTTTTAAATTTTTAAATTACTAATTAGTATTTATATCATTGGCAAATGATAAATAGTTACTTATTTTAATCTTTAAGTGAAAATGTATTCTAAATTTGTAGGGTAATTACAGTAGAAATAGAAGTAGAAATATGATGCATAAGTGTCCAAATTTTAGAAGGATAAGTTGGAAGCTTTCTTCCATTGGTGTAAGCATAACTAGTAAAATACAAGAACTGGTGTTTAAAGAACAGAATGGCTCTAACTACATGAAAAGATACTCAAAAGTATTAGTAATCACAGAATGCAAATTAAAAGCACAATGAATTTTTTCATGTCTACTGCATTAGAAAAAAATTAAAAATTATGCATTGGTCAGGATATGTGGCAAGGAGAACTCTTATGCACTGCTTGTTTCAGTGTAAATTTCTACAATAAATCTTCTATAATTCCTATCGAGTATCTCTGCAGAATTGTTTGCACAAATGCCCCAAGAAAGAAAAGTACAGGAATGTTCATAGGAGCATAATGACATCTAACTGGAGACAGTTCAAATCTTTATATATACTTAGCTATGGGTTACATATAGATACATACACATGTATATTCAGAAATGACATATAGTCAATCCTTATTATGAGTGATTCTATATTTGTAAATTTGCATATCCACAGAAATTTGTGATTCACAGCACTTTTGCAATCATTTGCTGACATGCACAGAACAGCATAAAAAGTTGTTATGCAACACTTACATTCCCAGCTGAGGTCAAACAAGGCAAGACCCTGCCTTCTGGTTTAAGTTCTCATACTGTAAACCAGTATTCTTTTTATAGTCTAATACCATGTTTTTCACATTTTGTGCTTTTTGTTGGTGATCTTGCTGTTTAAAATATTCCCTAAGAGTAATGCTGAAGTGCTGTCTAGCATTCCTCCGCACGAGAAAACTGTGAAGTGTCTTATAGAAAAAATATTTGTGTTAGATAAGCTTCATCCAGACATGAGTTACGACACTATTCCCTGTAAGTTTAGTGTCAATGAATCAGCAATATGTATTAAGTAAGGTGTCTTTAAACAGAAACACACGTAAAACAAGGTTTTGTATTGATTGGTTGATAAAAATGTGATCAGAGTCTCACAGAAACCTAACCTTGTTTTTCTACTATGTGCAGCGGTTCAGCATTTGGTAATTCATTGTTCATGGTGACTTTATAGAGCACAGCTTCCATGACTATGAGAATCAACTGTACTCTGTGACATGAGATTTATAAGTCTAAGTACATCATGTCTAAATCTAAAATTATAATATTAAATTAAAAAACTGTTTCCAAGATTACATATGTCATATGCATATTATTACATGCATATAATGTCTAAAATGTAATATATACTTGAAATATTAATAATTTTATTAAATTATTGTTATTAATTATTGTTAAGAATTAAATGTCGACTCTGATCTATAGATTTTTAGGTAATGCAAATTTTATGTATAATATATATTTAGTTTATGTATTATATATAAATTTAGGAACATATATACATATACACACATACGTATATGGTAAAAGTATAAATAAAATTAACTTAAAAGCCATCATACAATTCGGGATAGTTGTTGCTTTTTGGTAGAGAAAGAGTGATGTGGTCAGAGAGGGCTACACAGAGGTGATTAGATTAAAAATGGCTATTGCTATTTTCTGAAGATCCTAAAATTATTTAATATTTTTAGAGAAATTCTGGAGGATTTCACATTCAACCTAAACTATGGTTTATTGAACACTGAACTATGCGCAGATCACTAATCTGAGGCAAGCATACACTATTTCATTTAATTCTTACACTACTCTTGTGAGGTAGGTACTCTTCATGCAACTTTTTTTGACACTCGAGATTGTCATGCAAATTTCACTTTAAGATTTGGCTTTTAACAGTTATAGCTTCTACATTAAATGTAATAAAAGACATGGAATTTCGAAAGCCACATATATATTTTTTCTCTCTAAAAATGTAATTTTAAGATCTTCACTCATTGTCATTTTATGTATAATTTTAATAAAAATTAGGATAATGATAGGTAAATTTGTCTAGTACATATTAGTCATGCCATTTACATGTAGTCTTCTGTTAATGCTCTTAATTACCTTATAAATAAATATAGTTATTATCCTGTTTTTACAGATGACACCACAGACTCAGTTTTATTACTTTACTAAACGTTACAGAGTAAATGATGGAGCCGATATTTGTAGCATTTGAAGCTCTTATGCTTAATTTTCATGACACAAGATGAAACCATGTAAAGGAAAATAGGCTTAAATGTATAATTTCACAATAAACTAGAATTTTAGAAAATAGAATTGTGTATATGTGTGTGTGTGTGCGTGTGTATACATTCTCTTTTCTATCTTATTCTTTGTATAGGAGCATACCAAGTAGAATGCTTTTAAAGGGTCTATAACTTCAAATTATTTTAATATGAGTGTTCCATTTCTTAAGGTGGAGCATATTTAAATGCTGAGAAAATTCTAATTCATAGAATTTATACTAGTGTTGACACCTATTTATTGTGTGAATCTACACACACCTCTTTACTTTCCTATGGGCATAGTTTCCTGTCTGTAAAATGGAAATCCCATCTTGATAACATGATTTGAATATTAATGAATTATAATATTTGTATTGATATTATTATTTTAAAATATGGGTTTAAGATTACTTAGAAATGTTATTTATGATCTTTGAAGTGAGTAAAAAATAAATCATCCAGTTGTATTTCTGAATGTTTACTATAGCAGATGTGATCAAAACTACAATAGTTTAAACTCATGAATTAGTAATAAAAGATGGTTTAGTTTTCTTTATGCAAGCAGGAAAACTGCCGAGTGAGGACTTTAAGCCCCATAACTGTTTTTACATGCTGATTATACGACAAAGAGTAGTTTATGACATAAATGTCCTTTGGCATTTCCTCAGTATTCGTCTATGGTTTCTTTTTTAAATTTTCAAGCAATAAAATAGGTACTTTAAAGTATAGTAATAAAACCTAGTAATATATAGATTCAGATACTTTAGTCAACTTTCAAAGATCATTTGCTATTTTCAACTGGTTTCACTAACACTTACAATATTTATTTCCTTTTCTTTTTTCCTTAAATATTATACATCTTCAAAGATACTATTTCCAGTTCACATGTGATGTAAAGCCATCATGTTAGGTTAACTGAAGACCAAGGAGAAATAAACTTATCTCCCAATTAATAGATGAATTGATAGATAGAAGACAAGTAATTTTTATGTTTCTAAGAAAGCAAAAATGATTGCAAAAGCAAGCTGTATACATGCTGAAGACTACAAACCATCTCAAAATAATTATTGAGAGGTGTGGTATTTTGGGTTGATTTTAGCAATTTTAGCATTTGCACGACATTAACTTATAGAAGTGGCTTTGCCCCGATTACTGTGATTGACTAGGCTCTACATTATGTGCATTATTTGTTTGTCGTTAAAGCCTTTCATTTGACCTTGTCACTATAGTTTCCATGACATTTTTTGGTAGGCTTCTAACATACAAATGTATACCTATAAAATAAAATATTTCAAGTTATTTTATTCATTTTTTGAAAATCAGATGCCTGGGACCATTTTGATCAATAAGAATACTATAGATATGCAGAGAAGCTGTAATAAAAATGCCAACAATTTTTTTGCTTGCTTTTTGTCTCCCTAAATTACATTACTCGGTAGTCTTATTTCTAATTCTATTTATATTATCTGTAAAGTCAGCAGTGATTAGGGAAATTGAGTCCCTTCCATTACTATTTTACTGGGGTAAGGCTTCTTAATATTTCTGAAATTTGTCACATTTTAAAAATACAAAAAAATACTGGAAAAGGCTTTTATTGAAACTAAATTGAATACTTACTGAAAATAAAAAACATGTATTTAGCATAATAAGTACACAATATTTATTGAGTGAGATCCCCTTATCCATTTTTGTATACTTATAGATTACATTATAGATTACTTTGAGTATCATGCATTAATTCAATAAGATAAGTAATTTGAACTTTTGAGACTATTCCATCAAATTAATGCCACTGTATCTAAAGCCATATTTTATATCTGTATATTTAGTCAGGAATAACTTTAAATTTTACTTTATTGTATTTTCTTGGGAAAATCAGAAGGATTTACCTTTTTCATACCATTTAACAATTTTTAAAATTTTTTTCACCTATAGCGTCTAATAGAATGGTAGGCGCATTTATCAATTATACCTCTACTTCCTATAAAAGAGTAATTTGAGACTGCTTTTTAAAAAATAACCATATATCAAAACATCACATTGTACCCCATAAATATATAATAGATACAAGTAAATATATAAAAAAGCTAATTTTTTTGATGTATGAGTATATAATTAAGACATGTAAAATATATTTATAAAAAACATTTTTAAAAGTGAGATATTTTCTGTACAAATCATTGTGGCAATTAAAGCTTATTTAGCTATTTTATTTTAATTAAAAAACATTTTAGGGATAGGGCCTCTCTCTGTCACACAGGATGGAGTGCAGTGGCTCCATCAGAGCTCACTGCAGCCTTGAACTACTAGGTGAGTATAGTTAGTAATACTGTATAGTATACTGGTAATTTGCCAACAGAGTAGATTTCAGGTGTTCTGAGCACAAAAAAGAAAAGCGGTAACTCTATGAGGCGAGGGGTATGTTAATTAGGTTGACTGTAGTAATCATTTTTGCTATGAATGTGTATAACAAAACATTTTACACCTTAAATATATAATTTTTATTTTTAAAAAATAGTGGGGGCCGGAGGTGGTGGCTTATGCCTGTAATCCCAGCACTTTGGGAGGCTGAGGTGGGTGGATCATCTGAGGTCAGGAGTTTGAGACCAACTTGGCCAATGTGACGAAACCCCATCTCTACTAAAAATACAAAAATTAGCCAGGCATGGTGGCACCTGCCTGTAATTCCAGCTACTAGGGGGCTGGGGCATGAAGATCGCTTGAATCTGGTAGGTAGAGGTTGCAGTGAGCCAGTATCATGACACTGCACTCCAACCTGGGCCACAGAGTGAGACTCCATCCCGCCCCCCACCCCAAAATAAAGTGAGTTAGAGTTATCTCGACAATCATCAAAAAGCTAGACAACAGAAAGCACTAAAAAAAAAAAAAAAAAGCCAATAGATCATGTCAAAAGGCTGTGCAACCATCATTTCATTCCTTGGCTTAGCCTTAAGCAGGAAGGAAAAATGAGACCAAAATTATCAATTATTGAGGTTAAAACAACTGATGATTGAAGTAAAATATGTATGAGATCTATCTTAGAGCTACGTCTGATGTATAATGTAAAATTGTACTTCAGTTCAGATCTAAATTCTTCACTTTGAGTAATTTTTGTTTCAGTAATCACATTAATTTATTTAAATATTTAGCCCACAATAATCAAAGGTATATAACTTGCATTGATTTTTTTTTTGTACATTTTCTGGTAATTTTCTGAATAGAAGAGTGTGAAAAATATTCATGAAAAAAAGTCATATTGTAGTTTTAACTAGAAAGTACTATTTTAGTGACTATCAAGAGTGGTAAACAAAAGGGAAAATAAAATTTAAACTGTTATTTCATTTTTTTAAATATAGATTACTTGAATTTTCATTAGAGGAGCAGAAATGCCACCAATGCCAAGTACCCCACCTCCGCATCCACCTCCAGATGGAGGATGGGGCTGGGTTGTGGTTGGAGCAGCTTTTATCTCCATTGGATTTTCATATGCATTCCCTAAAGCCATCACCGTATTCTTCAAAGAAATTCAGCAAATATTCCACACTACCTACAGTGAAATAGCATGGATATCATCCATTATGCTGGCTGTTATGTACGCAGGAGGTAAGCTTCTTGCAGTAAATAGAATCCTGAATTAAGAAAATAATTCCTCCGTGTCACAATGTTTTACATATAGTGTCTTGGTATATTAAAACCCTGTTTTTATGTTATAGTCACTTAAGGCCAATCAAAAGTATAATTAGAACTGAACTTTCAGTGATTTTAGTGATTCAGTATCTTAAGCTATTTGCTTTGAATCGAGTCTTAATAGGGAATTTGTTTGAATAAGAATTTGTAAGCACAAAGCAAGATTTACTAAATTATGGAATTTCCAAGTGAAGCTACTTCATTTAGTTTGAAATAAAGTCCACCTCATATTGCTGATGTCATTTTTCACTATTGAAACCTCTGGTAGAAATGCTTTCTTCTGAATGAGAAGAAAATTTAAGTTGCTGACAGTTTATAAGCCCAGAAAGTACATCACTTTAAGCTGCAAAAATGAAGTGTTAACATGTACATTCTAGACCCATTCAAATTTGTGTGACTGAAATGATTATTTATCTCTGTAAGACTAATTAAATATGACATCTTTTTAACTTAAATGGTTGCCTGAAAATTACCTTATTACATTCTATGTTCAAATGAAGGTATGAGTCATGAAGGATAATGAATAGATCAAAGTACCATCCCACTTCTAAATGTTAAAAATTTGGAATTATTGGTGCCTTATTATGTCACCTATTTTCTTTAAATCAATCTCAGTAGCAGACCAGACTCTCTTGTAGAATTTCTTGAAAGTCATTACTTAAAATATGTCTTTTAGAGTTTTTATTTTTCAAGTGGGTATTTGACTTTAAGGGATAGATATAGACTCAGACTATAGTCATTTAAAGAAATTATATCAATTATCTTCTGTGATTTCTTATTTTTCAAGTAACGATAATATGGCTCTTAGTCATGGAGATAGGACATTAGTATAATATCTAGTATTTAGTAATATTTACTTTCACCCAAGGCCTAAGTACTTAATATGTGTGATATGACTTAATCCTGTTAATGATCTGTGAAATAAGTATTATCTTCTCTTTATTCGATAGCTGAGGAAATAGATAAGATAGCTCTCCCAAGTCAAACAGCTTGTTAGTGGCAAATAGAGACTGCAACTCCAAGCATTTGACACCTATGGTCTCTGACTTTTACATCTAGAAAGTGACATCTTTCTCTTTACATCTAGAGAGTGACAAAGCCAGATGTAGCCCAGGCCTTCTGTAAACCTGATTCATTTCTTTCCATCTCAGCTCGGTGGCTTGTGTACCACCTCCACCAACATCATTTGTTCAGTGACATAATAATTATTCTTTAGGACATTATCTTTTTCTTGCACTATGAAGGTAAACAGTTGATCCTGAAATAATTCTGTGTGTGTGTGTGTGTGTGTGTGTGTGTGTGTTTATGTGTGTTGGTGCTGGAATGTGTTTTCTACTTTTTAATGTATAGTGATTTTATATTAATACAGCATATGTTTCCCTTATCCATTCGGTTAGGTTAAAGATGCATTTTTCTTCCAGTATCAAAAGGTATCCTTTAAATACTATTTGGGCATGTCAATGCAAAATTCTACTTCTAACACACATTCTGTGAATCTCCTTTGGGGAGTTGCTTTATAGATTGTAAGAATGTTATTTCTTATGACCATAGAAACAGTAGGTATTGTAGAGTAGATATTCCTGTATAGAGCAGCACATAATCATCTTGACTTAAACTCCAAAACGTGCTAATATTAAGATACATAGGAGTTTTTTTTTTTTTTTTTTTTTTTTTTTTTGCCTCTTAAATACAATTGAAACAGTCTCTTCTACTGAATTAATGTAAGTCCATTGAATTTGAACTTCAGGTCTTATATAGTCATAATTATTTATTGAGCAGATAGTTGACTGACTCATCAGTAGGACACAATTTTATACACCGTTTTAGTTAACCAAATCTTAATTTACATTGTCTATTAGTTTTCAGACCTCAGAGTCTCAATGGCTTAAAACAATATGGTTTATTTCTTGCTGGAGCAATGTTTCAACAGGTGGCTATTCTATCACCCAAGGCTTTGTATGTTGTTCCCTAAATCTGCTCCATCTGCTGGACAAATAGTAAAGGCAGACAGCACAGAAGATCATGTGGACTGTTTTAGGGGGTAGGCCTGGAAGGAATAAACATTATTTCTGTACATATTCCATTGATTAGAACACTTATACTGCCCTACCCAGAGTCAGGGACCATGGATGCTGGGAAATGCAGCCTTCCTAAAGGAAGAAACAGAACTACAAAACATCCAGCCAGTCCTAGACAGAGCTTGGTTTCTCAACATTCTCCACTGAACAAAATATGCATGTGTTTATAGACTTGCCTATGACAGCCCTCCACCCTCTGGCTGGATCTAAAAGGAACATTAGAATGTACAGTGGCATAATTAACTTTCTCCAACTACTAAATCTCAATATGAAATTATGAAAAGTAAATATCCTGTATTTACTACAAATAAATGTTTTCATTTTATTCATACTTACTTTTCTGTTTTACTATGTATGGTATAAATTTTTAAAAGCACAAAAGAATTCTTTTGAAATTCAGGAAGAAAATGGTAGTTTGTTAAAATAGTTATAAATTTGGAAAAAGCTGCCTTAAAATTTTTAGGGTGATAGGGTTTTTATATATGCTTATTTTGTGAAAGCAATGCTAGATACATACAAATTCTTAGTATTTAGTAGTTGATGATGGCAATATCTAGGTTAGATCCAAGTAAATACCTGGAATATTGCCTAACGTCCTCCATTATCAGGGTTAAAACATGTAAATGTTTCATCTCTGGCCATAGAGAAAAGTCAGGAATTGAAGAAATTCTGCTCACCTTTGGTCCTTCTTTTAAAACTGTAAACACAATTCTATGCCCATTGTCTAGTGGATGAAAATGCTTTTACCTGCCGTGTCCACTGTTGAATATAGATCTTATACATTTACATAATTTGTTGGAAATAACATCTACATCTTATCCTGATAATTAGTTTCTAATCTTTTAACCAAAAATAATTGGCATACTTAAAATTATAATCTAATGTGGAAACAATTTTCTTAATGTGGATGCGATAATTTTTTTTTAAGAAACATAGTAACTATTTAGAACAAAAAGTCTGATATAGTCAGTTAATCTAAGACACAGGTATTAGTCCTGTTACTCACATTCCAGTCTTTCTTCAAGTGTGGTCTACAAAATGCTTTGCTTCTGAGTCATGAGTCTTGTTAAAAATGAAGTCCTGGGCCTTATCTCAAATCCCCTTTTATCAGGATTTCTGTTGATAGAGTTCAGAAACTTGCATTTTAACAAGTATCTCTGAAAACAACTTCACTTTATACACAACACAGGGGTTCACTGTTGTAGAAGAAAATCAATATTTGATTTTAAAATACTTAAATTTTCATAAAATATATGAAATATATTTATAGGAGTCTTTTAGGTTGATGATTATAAAATAAATTTAAAGAGCATAAGGTGAAAAGACATAGTTTAATATGAAGTATAATGAGTCTCTCTAGCAAGTAGCTGAAATATTCTGTTCAATGCTATGCTAATTGCGTTAGCCTAGAGAACACCTAAGATCTGACACATTCATTAGGGCTTAGCACTCAACCTATTAATCACTACTGTGGGGTCACTGAGTAAGACAGAACGTGTTCAGAGGCCTGGCCTGTGATGTCAGGACTGGAGTCTCTTGTAGTAATTAGTTGGCATCTGGGCTTTGGTAGCAAGGTATTATCTTCCCTTCTGATGTCTGAATTAAAAATGAAACTAATGAAAGGTTTGCAGGAAGGATGGAGAAGAATGCAAATTATGTTTATACCTTACTTCATCCTTAGAATAATGGCATTAAATTACAGCAACCCATCTGGATGTCCATATGTTCTCCTGGAGGTCTAGCAAATTTTAGCTAATAGGTCAAACAGTATGGTCACCCCATTAATAAAGCACTAAGTAGAGGTAGAAAACAGAATTTAAACTTTCTACACTGTTTAGAAGGACATAGGGTTTTATTTTGTAAATAGCGATTACATAGGATTGTCTTTAGTACAATATTTGTTTTTGTGTTCTATTGAATGATAATCTATACATGGTTACCTATACAGTTACTGACTACAGATTTTGGACTGCCAGTTTCTATGAGTACTTTATGTGACTTTTCTGGTAAAATTCCGTTCTGACTTGGAAGAATCAGCCATTCTGGAGAGGAGAATTGGCTTTGTCTCCATGGTAACTTATTTTTCTGTTTTATGTGAATAGTGAAGGCCAATTGTGTGAAAGTAAGGGTAATAGTTTTGTGAGGTACTGCTTTACACAGGGATTGAACGTTAGAACACTGAGCTTATTTTATTGGAGGCCAAGAAGCAAAAGGCTTTAACATAGCAGGTTGGTGGTCATAACATCAAATATGTATTTTTCTATTCTCTTAAAATTTTAAATAAGCTCAATATATTATTCTGCATTGTGCCCTAATATTTTGCAGAATGAGGGAGGCTATTAAAATAATTCATACTGTGCAATGTCTTAGCAACAATAAAAAAAGAAAGTTATTCCATTCCTGTGTTTGAGATAGCTAGGGCTTTCATCTTAGATTTATAAAAAGCACAAAGTACGAGGTACACTTTGACAGCCCTATGCAAGTAGGCTGTGGACTTTTTATATCTATGCCGTGTTAGGCTCTTTTTTTCATCCGTAGGTATAAATATTACTAAACCTTTCTAGGATATATGGCACAGTGTGGCAGAAACTATTATGCTCACCATGTATCCATGCACTCCTCTATATTTCCCAGCTTTCCTCCCCTTAGACTGAGACCAAGTGACTATTTCTGACCAATTAAATATAAGTGGAAGGACGTATGTCCCTCTGGACACCTCCTGGCAAGGTAGTTTGATCTGGCATGCATCTTCCCTTTCTCTACAGTTATATAGACTATACTGATCATTACAAACATGAGGACTTGATTTATTGTGTAACAACAATATAATTTATATAC